AGGGTTAGGTGGAGCGAAGTCGGTGGTGAGATGACAAGCCAAGAGTAGCGAAACAGCACCGGTGATCAGGAGCGATCCAGTCGATTAGAGTCTGCAACATATGACGGTTACTGCCTCAGGTGGCCATTGTCCTCATGCTTTCATGTGATGAAACGTGACCTAAGGACGTAATGAATTTTCTGCTTCCTGATGAGACGACCAGTCTGGTGATCGTAGGGCTCTCAGCTTGAAGAAGTGCAACCGACTCGTACCGTTTAGCGAACAATATATCAAAAATACATCAAACGCACCGGCAAGGGGTTCATAAGGTCCACACCAGCGTATCGGCCTACGTAACCGGATAAGATCACTCAAAGTCTAGCCAGTTGGTAAGATGTGGTGTGGTAGCCCCACCTGATGGACGCAATACTGTTGGGGTTGGGGTTAAGGGTTTGGGTTAGGGGTTATGGTTAGGGTTTAGGACTGGAGGCCGATGTTCTTTCTGCGCCTAGTCGAAGTCACATGCTGTCTAATAGCTGTTGTTTGTGTGTGTTTAATCTATTTTCGAATTTAGTAAAATATTTTATGACTGTCTAATATATTTATTTAAAATCTCGCAAGAAACTAGTGAAAATACTCACGCTGACCTTGCACACCATTGCTTCTAAAATTCAAAGAAAAGTGTTGAACGCTTTGAAAAATATTGATCAGTGGTCTTTTCTAAGCAAATCAATGTGCCCTTTCAAATGACAAAACGTCAGGAAGCTTTCATTACACTTAAACGGACTATGAGAAACGAGGATGCGTTTCTTCAACAGCTTTGATAACCAATTTGGAAATGCTTGCGAACTGCCACTTTTTGCAAAATCTCTCTTCGGTAAGCTGTGGTTTGGTAGCCCCACCTGATGGACAAAATACTGTTGGGCTTTGGGTTAAGGATTAGGGTTAGATGGTAGGGCTAGGGGTTATGACCAGGGGTTAGGGCTAACGGTTGGGTTTGGGGTTGGGGTTTAGGATTAGGGGCTAGGGTTAGGGATCTGCGCAACTATTTCTCAACCATTCAAAGTACAACCGCGCATTCCCAATAGCTTTTCTTTTGCATACAGCTACTTGACCTCGTCGCCTGTGCATTCCCCGGCCGCACCTGTAAAGGCTCCTATTGCCACCAGTCTCTTAGTAGAGGGGACTGGGGTTTGTTTACGTCGGGTGGGGCTACATAACCACATCTGACTGGCCAATTTTCTTAATTTTATGGTAGGACCTTGAAATATGATCCCCCCACGCAATACAGGTGGCCTTGTGCTTACTTCTAGGGAGTTAGGGTTAGTGTTTGGTTTAGGACATGGGAATAGGCACCCGTTTTACTGGGGAGGGGAATCCCTATTCCCGTTTCTTACTCTCACCGAGACGTTAGCTAACTCTCAAGCATTTGGTCCGGCTGATTGTAACATCAGGACCGCCACTTTCAAGTCCTCCGGCGTTTTAACATTCGCGGCGTGACCTGGACCGAGTCTACGACTCCCGTCAAAGCCAGGTGCAGTCAACCCCCGGTATTCGTGGGGCTATGAACCACAGGTAAGCGCGAATAGCTGAAATCCACGAATACTTAAGACCCCTCTAAAAACGCTTATGACTGCCTATTTTAGTGTTCAGATCGGCCTGCAGATCAGCCGGACAAACTGGGAAGAACTCGGCCGGGACCGGCCTACGTGGAGAACAGTGAAGACTGGCGCAGCAATCTTCGAAGCCAACCGCATTATCGCCGCCAAAGTCAAACGCTAGACACGCAAATCTAAACTGCCACCACCACCGCCGCCTCACAACGTCAACTCTCAACCGCCTCCAACATGCCCACGATGTCAACGGACATTCGGGCGCCCATTGGACTTATTGGACACCTCCGGACCAACTTCAAAACCGGGACTGCACCAACCGCCGTCTCTCCATCCACCTCTCCTATGTCACCAACTAACGCCGACCGCCCTCCCGGACCGTTACTGCCACTCTTCTTCGTCTTATTCTTCGTCTTCTTCTTCTTCTTCTTCTTCTTCTTTCCCTTCCTCTCCTCCTCCTCCTCCTCCTCCTCCTCCTCCTCCTCCTCCACAACTGGAATCTGCTTGCTTTTTCATGATTGGTGGTCGTTTTAGGCGTGATTTGCGATAACGGAGCAGTCCTGCCTGAGTTCAATAACTAGTACCATCCCAAGTTTTCTAGCACTACCAAATGCTGAATTATGCTCTTATTATCTTACGCTATTTTTGAATCACATTTTTGATATTTGTTGTCCCCGTGAAACTGTTATGGTCAGGCCTGACAGAATCTCCTCACCATACCTCAAACACTTGAGACGTCGCAAAGAAACCTTCTACAAACTAGGTCAACGTGACAAGGTGAAGAATATCAATGTTTTAATAAAGAACGAAATTGCCAGACTTAACGGTTTATTCGTTAGTCAACTTTTTTCTACTTCATCCACCCCCTCCTCTCCTTTTCGTTCTGCTGAACTGTGGAGGAATCTCAAGCGTCTCACTGGTCAATGTAATATACTTGAACCCACTGACGTAAATTTAAACTCTTTAAATCGGAATTTTATCTGTACTTCTAACGACTCCACTTCTCGCCCAAACGAAATTTACCTACCACCATGTGACTTTACTCCTGTGACTGCGGCAACAGTGGAACACCATGTCAAAAAGATTCGCGGGTCAACGGCGGCTGGGCCGGACGGTGTCTCTCCTTTTCTCCTTAAGTCTTGCTGTTTGCAGATAGCTCCCGTCTTGACCCACCTTATTAATCTATCCTTCATAGAGTCCAAGATTCCTGACGCCTGGCGTACAGTAAGAATTACTCCAATCCCTAAAAAATCTTTAACTTTTACTCCTAAATCTTTTCGTCCTATTGCCTGCTCTTCTGCACTCCTGAAACTTACTGAACGAGTTGCATTAGATTCCCTTAAGTACTCCTCCGTCAATTTTTCTGATCCTCTACAATTTGCATACAAGGCAAAGCGTAGCACCTTGGATGCTGTTGCTTTAGTTGTTCATTCAGCTTTGAGAGACTTAGACAAGGGATGCCGTGCATATGCATGTGCTTTTCTCGACTACTCATCCGCCTTCAACACTATCCCGCGCCAAATCCTCCTGACCAAAGCAGCTGCGTGCGACACTCTGAGCTGGGTTGTCTCTTGGCTTAGAGATTATTTTTCCTGCCGCACTCAGTTTGTCCAGTCGGGAAAGACAAAATCTTCTATTCTTCCAAATAATTGTGGAGTTCTACAAGGTTCCATCTTATCCCCTCATCTTTTCTCCCTACATACTGATGATTTGAGATCGCTAAACGACTGCCTGTATGTTAAGTATGCCGATGACATGGTCGTAGGCCACCCACTCAAAAATCTGACTCACCTACAGTCTTTAAAGGATGGCTTAGATCACGTCTCCGCATGGTCTTCGAATAATGGACTCCTACTCAACAATCAGAAATCAGTAGAGTGTGTGTTTCGATTGCGACCCTCTCCCATTCCTGAACCTTTGGATATTCTTCCCAATGAGGTATCTTCTTTCCGGTACCTAGGTGTTACTTTGTCCTCAAATCTCTCTTTCTCTCTTCACATGGAAACCCTTTTAGCAAAAATTTAAAAACTCGTTTATTACATTCGGCGTCCACGTTCATATTACACACCCCAGTCCTTAATCTGGCGATTCATAGATGGCTGTAGTCTTCCACTCATACTTTATTGTTTTCCAGTTATTTTACCAGCTTTACTAAAAAAAGGACTAATTATTTTTAAACGTGTCATTCGAATGCTCGCCTCTGCTGCTGGTGTTTCCTATCATCTTTTAGTTGATATCATCGTGCAGCGACACTTCAACTCCGTGGAGCAATTCGCTGACCGAATTCTGAATGACACCGTCCATCCCCTTCATAATGAGTTAATGGCTGCGAAATCCTTACGCCCCATGCGTCGATGCTTCCGCCACATCCCTTGCCGCACTTCGGCCTATCGGAATTCCATACTGCCATTTCTAGCCCGGTATCTCACCTGCAAAGATGTTGAAAAACAAAAACTAAAACTCGATCTTGCACCTTAAAGTCCTTTTTTCTCCGTATATAATCATGTCCTCCTGTCCAAAACCTGTTAATCTCTATGGTAATCACTGTGTACTGGAGAACAGTTTTTGCTGAAAGTTTTGAAAGTTATTTTCAAAATAAAGCAGTCCTCTCTCTCTCTCTTCCGTTGAGTGCCGCAGGTAGATAGGCGGTTATGGAGGTGACAGCACCGGCTACGTGCAAGACGCTTCCATCGCTTATGCGTAATCGGCTTGATACTCACCCTTGTTAAGCGCGTCCACCGATTAAGTTGCAGGACATACTTGTCGCGCTGAGGCCTGAACTTCAGTCCTCAACTCTCGCAGGCAGTTGCACGGCAACCGTGGCTTGGAAGGCTGCCGACTGACGCCCCAACTAAGTCCACGCAGTCTGCTCAGATATGCGTGTAAATGTGTGGTGGCGGACTGGGTGGGCCGAGAGTCAGACTGGAGCGGCTCCTTCCCAACGTAACCAACGGCACTCTCACGCATATGAGATGTACGCCGTTCAACCCCCGTTATGTGGAATCCAGGTGCTTGTGTTTGGGGGGCCAGATCGTGCATGTGGCGCGCACAGACAAGATCACTCGACCATGTCAGCCACAGCGCCCCTTCCTCGCACCTGTCAGCTGACCGGCTCGGACAGTGGCTGGGGCCTGGGGATGGGAAGGGAGAGTTAGGTCGACGGCTCAACGCACTTTCTTCATTATAAACAATCCGAAGTGCTTGAAGCTATTGCGGTGCGCTAAAAGACAACTGACGGGATAAATTGGACCTCGCAGTCGGCCCAGTGTTGTGTGTTTGGGGGGAGTAGCTGGCCAGTGGTCTAAGGGTTAGGCTGCAGTGGCTCCTTCTTAATGGGGCCTTTGTGGCACTCTCACTCCGTGGCACACGAGCCGGGTGTAAAGGTACGCCCAGGTGCGGCTCCGGTCGTGTCAGCCACCCTTTTGTTGCTGGTCCAAACCTGATCACTTGCTGTGTGGGCAAGAAAGTGAGAAGTGGAGCGTCAAGGTGCGGGCACGACCGTGCCATTCACCTGTGCCCTTCTCCGCCTCCGGTCTTCTATACTCTAGCTTTACATCAGGTCCTGGTAGGGGCGTAGAGAGTGTGATAGATGCTGCGCAAGCCTACATTCACTATGAACTAAATCACGCGCAAATCACCGTGCCTGCTTCAACTTGCTGTGTAGCACATCGTCGGCAACGACGGTCGAGCTGCCGGTAAGATTTTATCTACTATCCTTGACCGCCACAACCACGTTTGATAACTAATTGCGCCATATCCGTCTGTCCTGATTTATTCCGTCAGCCGAAAACCATCGAATCTATGACTATTAGCGCGTCGTAATAGTTCTAAAATGCAGTTGCCTGATTTTTGCGAAGAGCTAGGCTCTGGAACTGAACTCACCCCCTTTTCCCTCTTCCATAGAATCAAATCGGCTGGTGGTAGGATAGGAAGCACTGGCTGGCGTGACATGAAATTGCTGTTTATCGTATGTCAAGAGTGGCTATGTCTAAGGGCTACAGTTACGTTTACGATTTCGGTTAGGGTTAGGGTTAAGGTTGCCGTCAGGGTTGACGGTTAACTTTTAAGGTTAGGGTTAAGGTCGCCGTCCTCTTCCCCATTCCTGGCTACCAACAGCGATCTAGCCGACCCGACTCTCGCAGCAACGAGAAGTGTCATGAATGTCACATTATAAAGGAACCATTGCAGCTCGACACTCAATCCTGAGAAAGACCGATTAATTCCGTCAGTTGGTAGCTATCGATACCACTGCTCTTAGAGCGACAAATTCAGTATTGCACTAAATACGCTGTTTTATGGAAACCTCAGTATCGGCCTCACTCATTCGTGCACTCAACGACTGTCTGAGCAAGTTAACTTGTTGGTGAGGAGACTGGGTGTGGTGATTGGTGTGGCTCTGGATCGGATCTTATTTTGTAGCCGTGCATGCAATGGACAAGCTGCAGCCTAACTCCTAACCTCGAACCCCTTACCCCAACCACCAACCTTAATCCCTTAACCTGACCCCAAACCCCCAACTCAAAACCCCAACTTTAACCCCTAACCCTAACAGGTACGGCTACGAAATAGGACCTTGCCTGGCTTTGAGCCACCGATTATCATGTGTTACAGAATTCCATATGTGCATACGTGACAGATCGCCGATCATTGCCAATATTGACGAACACCCTGGTAGTGCTGGTGCGTAAGGGAGCAGTGGTCCTAATGTCCGCGCACAAAGGGCTACTGTTTATTACACAGACATTCGCAACCAAAATATTCTCGCTGACCTCAGTCCGGATTCAAACAGACCGCTCGCACCTCCATAACGGCGTGAAAATGAGGTGGATTGGGAGATTGAGGTAGCCTGAAAGGCCCTCGGGCAGTCAGCACCTGTGGTCGCTAGTTTGACCGTCTACTCATGCCTTTCTGTCCGTCTCACGCTCCTCGTCTATTCGCTGCTGAGGCCGCCCGAAACAGCCAATCAACGCTATGCTCTTCGTGATTGGCTGCAGGCTGACAGGGCAGATAGGTGA